CTCGATCCCAGGACCCTGGGATCGTGACCTGAGCCGAAGGCAGACGCTTAACGACTGAGCCACCCAGGCGCCCGCTGTTTCCCTTTCTTATCATTTGTGTGTTCACTGGAGTATTTTAAGATTTCCTTCATGGCTTTTTCCTTTGCATTCACAGCTTGGCTAATCGTTTGGTGCAAGAGGCCTAGACCTGGGTCTATCTCGACTTTTGAACAAGGCCTCCTGACTAAGCTTAATCATTTCTAGCTTTTGACTTAAAGTGAGAGACATGTGATTCTTCCTTTCACTGGAACACTTACAGGCCCGTGTAGGTTTGTTAATTGGCCTCATTTCAATATTGTTGTATCTCGGGAAATAAGGAGGCCCAGGAGAGGAAGATAGACAGGGGAAGAGAACACATAGGTGTGCATATTAAGTTTGCCATCTTACAGGGCTGCCACCCTAAAATTATAATAGTACCACCAAAGATCGCTGATAACCATAACAAGTAATGAAAAGTTTTGAAATATTGCAAGAATTACCAAAATGTGACACAGAAACACTAAATGAGCCAATGCAAATGCCAATACACTTGCTTGATACAGGGTTGCCACAAACCAAGTTGTAAAACAAAAACAAAAAACAGTCTATGCAAAGCACAGTAAAATGAGATATGCCTGTATCAGGTTATTTATCCCAGTCATCTTTATATTACTTACAAAAAGTTTACAATTAATGTTAAATAGTTTTGAGTTTGAAATTATGATTTTAACCAGGTAACTAATCGTCTGACTTACTGTACTATTAATTTTGTATTTGATGTCAGCTAAAATTTACATTTACAGTTTTCTATAAAATGTTACCATTTGTTCTAAATGTAATCTTTTATTATGGGACTATCAAGGTCACTGCAAACATGGGGCCTGACCTCATAGGTCTCTTCTAGAGAAAAAGCTCTAGGTGCTAAGCACCTCAGGACACCCTGCCATGTAAAGTAGAACCATAATCAATGCTCAGAGATACACAAGACACAAATCCAATCAGTGACGGACTCTGAAGAAATAATGGTGAAGTAGAAAAGAAAGGAGGGAAGCACGTTCCATGAAGAACACCTTCCTTTGCAACCACAAAGGCACCATGGTAAGAGGTACCAACAGAAGGCTGAAACGGGGGGGAAAAAAAGAGTAAATAACCCACCAAGCCACCTCCCTTCGTGAAGCACCAGACTGACAAGACCAGTGTAGCAAGAGAGACAGACTAGCTTAGAAGATCTCATTTCACAAAAGTGATGGGAGTCATCGTGTGGAGAATGAGGCAGCAGCTCAGTCCTCCAGATGAGACATGGTGGGGACAGGGCCCCTGTTGTAAGGATGGTGACACACACTCAAGGAGGGAGTTGGGAGGAACAGTCCCAAGGACCAATAATAGATGGGACATGGGGACTTTAAGGCAGAGAGATTTCTGGCTCAAGAACTGGGTGTATGGCGGTACTCTTCTGAGATAGGGTGGCCTGGACAGAGGATCACTGGGGGGAGGCAACTCTTGATTTGTGACACCTTGAATTTGAGTCTCCACCTATTAAAACTCCTCCCAGGAAGTATCCCTCCCTCAGCAAGTCAACTGTGTGTGGAACCTCGCCATGCTGTTTTGATACGCTGGCCTGTCAACTCCGATCCCTTTATTTTAAACTGGGCTCTTGAAGGAGCTGTAATGAATTTCGTGGCCCTGCCTAAAATAACAAGTTCATCCCCCAAATCACTGCTCTGTAAAATCAGACATAAAGGGCAATATTCAGAAATGGGCTTTTCAAAAGGCCAAAGTAATAGGGTGGCTCAACATAAAATAATGCCGTGGTGCCAGGATAAAAGGAAGGGGGGAAAACCGCATAGTTAATAATCTGTGGAAGTTGTAAAGGCGAATTGCATGTGTCTATACTTGCCTTTGTAGTTTTGACTTTATTGCCACTGCTACAGGACCAACCTGAGTAATCTGGCAGCACTTTACAATCCTCTCCTTCCAAGCAAGGATTCATGTGACACCACCATTTCTGAATCACGATGGAAGCTGTAAGACAAAGGCCACATAATGTTTGTGATAGTTGCTTCCTCCAACTATGGACAACAAAGCTCATACGGATCAATATACTGACTTCAAAGATTGTTAGTAAGAACTATTTCACAGTAAGTAAATTTAAAGAATTATGCTTAGGTAAGAGTAAGATACCAAGCTTTGCAGCATGCCTGGATTTTTTTTTTTTCCAATGACCTTCGACGAGTTATTTAACTCCTCTTGGCCTCAATTTCTTCATCTGTAAATTGGGGATAATAATAGAAGCTCGCCACAGATGTCAAGAGGATAGAGCTAATCCATATCAAACTCTCTGCTAACCAGGGGCCAGGCACTAGGTTGTCAGAAAATGTTAGCTATTGCTGTGGTCATCATTTTGTAGGCTCCAATGGTGGACGCAAACCTGGCCAAGTTGTTACATTTGATGCTCTCTGTTGTCGGAGCACAACCCAAAACAGTCAGCATTTCCATCACAGAGTCATTCACCTCTCCATGCCGTTCCAGCAAGTGGTGAGTAACACCTTGAATTCAACAACCAGAAGCCAAGTGAAGGTGGAAGAGCGTGGCACTCCCTCACTTGCCCACATTCTAGACTCGCGATCTCACCTGTGAATGCCCTCTCCCCCTTATCCCATCATCTCTGCTGCCATCTGCCAATAAGATGAGGAAGCAGAAAATTCTCTGGGTTTGGAGGCAGATGAAGACACGTTAAGGAAACTCTATCAACTTGCCTGGGTATTCCCACAGAGTCAAAGGACAAAGGGATTGTGATTCAGTTTCTATGGTGAGCTCACAAATGGTATAGATCAGAGATCTGGGGCTGCGGGTAGGTGTGTAGGTTAAGGGGGGAGGGTCGTTGAGCCCTGTTTTTCTGTTGAAATAACAGCACTTTGGTTAAAAAAAAAAATACCCCAATGGATTTGATTCCATCTACCATTGCCTACCATTTCAAACAAGTCTTGAGAATTCCTAATAGCTATTTTTTCTGGAGGGTCAGGCACCCTGCTAAATGTATTTCCTGCATTTTGTAGAGGAGAGAAAACTGAGGCCCTTTGACAGAGGCATTCTAATGCTAGAGCCCCTTCTTCAACCCTTAAAGTCACACCCCTTCCTCACACCAGAGATCTGTAGGAGAAACAACTAGAGGTGTAGAGACAGTAACAAAAGCAGGGAACATAGCAAGCTCATGCATTAAAAACTCTGCTCCCGGGCACCTGGGTGGCTCAGTCGTTAAGCGTCTGCCTTCGGCTCAGGTCATGATCTCAGGGTCCTGGGATAGAGCCCCGCATCGGGCTCCTGGCTCCGCGGGAAGCCTGCTTCTCCCTCTCCCACTCCCCCTGCTTGTGTTCCCTCTCTCACTGTGTCTCTCTGTCAGAAAATAAATAAAAAATCTAAAAAAAATAAAATAAAAAATAAAAACTCTGCTCCTGTCAGGCCAATGCAATATGGCATGGTTAGGGCGCCAGAACATTTCATTATCAGCTGAAGTGGCTAGTGTCTACTCCCCATGAAAACCACCGTTCCTGATTCCGGCCAAATACTGTGCTTCTATCTGATAAACCAATCATACCTCAATGAGTTAGAACTGTGATCTAGAAGAACCATAAGCTATTTAAGTCAGAAGGTGCCAGCACTGAGGAGAAAGGAATATAGCTAAATGGGTTATTTATTTTGTCAGAGAGTGCCACTGAACTTGAGTGGATGGATGGAGACGGCTGGATGAAATCTGAGAAAGCCGTATCCTTTTCAGTCACTGATATTACAACAATCCCACCTCAACACTGCATGGAGCTTTGTTATTTTCAAGGCCCTTTTACATACTGTTCCTCTTTCAATTATCTCAACAACCTTCAGAAGCAGGAACAGGGGGCAGATGGCCAGAAATAAAAACGAGAGCTTTCCACAAAGTGAGTAAAATGAGGGAGGAGGTACTAGAATCAACTTCTTTTTCTGCATCTACAAGTCTTTCTGCTGTACCACAACTTATAATAATAGTTAGATTAACATATGCTACGTAGAGTTTGACCAGATTCAAAGTCCTTCATTATCTTCTGAATACCTTAGGCCAATCCCAAGTAGATATAAAGATAAATAAGACATGGTTCCCAACCCTCAATTTAAAATTCCATCTGCAGGACTGTGGAAGTTATATAAATGTTGACAGAGCTTAAGTTATATTTACACAGAGTTACAGCTGAATTTAAAATACTTTTTTTTTTTATCTTTAAAACCGTTCCCTTAGGCAGATTCTCTGCCACTCAGCAGTGGGCACCTATGTACTCTTGACAGGGGCCAGGGCTACATGGAGGATTCCACAGAAGCCCAGGCAGCTGACAAGTGATCTGCCCCAGTGAAGGCACGCAGTGCATTGGGTCAGGGAGTGACCTACCTGGAAGCCAGGAGACCCAGTTGAGCAAGGTGGGTGGTCTGAGAAGCAACCTTCAACGGCTCTCAATGCCAACTCCAGATTAGACTGGATTCCCCAAGGGGTAGGGAGCCATGGAAAGTTTCTGAACAAGGGGGTGCAATAAGGCAGGGAAAACTGTGTGCCTGGGAAAGCTAGTCTGACAGGGGATAGTAAACAATTTGGGACAGAAAGTACTCTGAAGGAGACCACTTGAGGTATAAAGTGAGAAATCTGGGAATAAATTCCCTACAGAGGAAATCATCTGGTTCATTCTATGTCAACTTCACAGCAAAGAAATGCTAATACTTCCTCACTGGCCTCATGGGGTCCTAAGATCATTCTGTGCCAAATCTAGAAGAGGAGCTTGAGGGGAAAAAAAGATTCAGGCATTCATCACCAAAAACTATGCCAATTCTTAACTACAGAAAAATTAAAAGACTTTCACAGTATTTTGTTTAAGGCTTTCAATTTATTTAAACAAAAGAAGAAAGCATGTATGATCAAGCTCTTGCAGAATTATTTACCAGTTTTCTTTCATTTAACTGGAAAATATGGAGTGATTTTTCTGAAGACAGAATCACAATAGGTTCCTTAAAAGAGCAACCTATCTTGAAATTTAAAATATTTCTATTTGCCAAAAAAAAAAATCATTTTCATATTTGAGTGAAGAATACATTTAAGAGGGGCCCTCCAAGTGTTAGAGACGTACTTACTTAACAGCAAATGTTCTTTCAGAAAAGAAAGTCTTAATGAGCGCCACCCTAGTAGCCATAATAAAAGTTTCAAATTCCTTTATGCGTTAAAAACTGACTAAGGAACTCATAGCAAGGGTGAGAACCAACTGAGGGTTTCACCCACCAGTGAATAAGGTGATTAAAATGCCCAGAAGTTCCAGTGTTGAATGCCTACTGAGCTGGGCTTTGAGCTGAGACAAAGGATGCAGAAGTAGGATTTTATTAAAGTAACTCTTGAGAACATCTGCCCACTTAACTGAGCCTTGTCTCCATAGGAAAATAAGTTTGTAGGAGGTATCTATTTTATCCTGTTCAAAATACCGTAATATACTAGAGATGAGAAAGTGTCTTGTCACTTCTATTTTTAAAATAAAATTCTTTAGAAAGCCCCATGCCTCCCTTAGGAAAATATAAAACATCCCTATCTTCAAGCTGCCAACCTGTAATGAATTTCTAGTTTTATGCAGAAAGAAAGAAGAAAAAAAAAAACAGTGAAACTCTGGTTTTATGGTAGTGACTAGTGTTTTCTGTGATGTTGTTTTCTAGGTGAAAATGTAATGGGACCAATTAGCTATCTTGCTCTTGGTGCATTTTCTGTACTCTCTGTTGTATAAAATAGATGGAGATTTTTTTTCTATCCCTTGTCCCAATTAAACATTATTCCATGAAATAAAACACAAGATGTATTCATATAGCTATTTCTATAAACCCACCTTCGAGTAAGACCAACACCAGGCTCACTTCTCAGGAGTTGGTCTTTCATTTTTTTGACCTCGTTTCATTGCATTTACAGAGTTAAGGCTTTTCTAAAGAAAAGCGTATTTTTACACTGAAGGTACAGACCGAAAGATGAACACATCTTCCTAGAATATATACGGTCTTAAAAATGGAAACAATCACAAAAATATGCTCTGAGATTTTCAGATAATTTAGCTGATCTGCTCTTAACAGTGTTCTTTCAAGATTTTCTTTGCAAATTAACATTAAGCCATTTGTTAACTTTAAATAAAGATAGGCCAGGGGTGGGGGGAGGAAGGAGACCTGCTAATTTTTGTTATTTCAAGAAAAGAAGCCATTCCAACCTGACCCAGGTATCATGCAAAGAAGTAGTCCTGAGAACATGATTTTTTGTTAAAGGAACATTTTACTTGTTCACACACTTCACACATAACAAGGTATTGTTATTTCTACAGAGTACTGAGTGAGGCTGTGGATAAATAGGTACAGAATGATCTTTTGTAATTTAGGTTTGTCTTTTCCACAAAGTGTGAGCTCACACAAGTACAACCCTCCCCAGCCATGACCTGCCCGTAAGGCAGTTTCTTGACCTTAGCACTTTAGAGGCTGGGTAATTCTTGACTGTAGGAATCTATCCTGCACCTTGTACCATAGTGACCAGCATCTTAAGCCTCTACCCTTTAGATGCCAGTAGCACCCTCTCCCCCAGTTTAACACCCCGAAGTGGTTCCAGACATTGTCAAATATCCCTAGGGTGGCCAAAATCACCCCTGGTTAAGAAACATTAATCGGGGTGCCTGGGGGGCTCAGTTGGTTAGGCGTCTGCCTTTGGCTCGGGTCATGATCTCAGGGTCCTGGGATCGAGCCCCGCATCGGGCTCTCTGCTCTGCGGGGAGCCGGCTTGTCCCTCTCTCTCCCCCTCTGTCCTCCCCCCCCCCACTGTTCATTCTCCCTCTCTCCTCTCTCTCAAATAAATAAATCTTTAAAAAAAATTAATCTACAGTCATGTACATTGGGATGTACTCAGCCCCGGATGAGAGGCTGAGCTAGTTCACCAGACCTCATAAACCTTAATACGTGGTAAACACAATGCCACCTCTATTCCTTCTCTTCCCTCC